TTTTAGATTCGCCATAGGCTCTTCATACCCATGATCATTTTCTTGGGTTCTGTTTCTAGCTGTGAAATTCCTGAGCTCTCTATCCTCCGGATGTACTTCCTCTAGATATTTCTAATGTTTAAATAAATATCCAGTGCTATGTAGTGTGTTATTCTCTCTCTCTCTCTCTCTCTCTCTCTCTCTCTCTCTCTCTCTTTGTGGTTCTTTCCGAGCACCATGGGCACTCTGGAAGTACTTCTAGTTCAGTGTATTTTGCACGCCTCACCCCCTCCAATATGTTTCTGATATTTGCTACTGCACACTTGAGTTGTCCACGTGGAGAACCTCATTTCTGCGTGCCCTCTTGGGTTTGCTCTTTCTCTGTTTCTGAAACATGAAAGATTGTGTTTAGGCTCTGAGATCCCAATGAGGTATAAAATATCTCCACTGAGCTTTAGAACCATCATCCTGGAGGTTCTCAGAACTGAAAAAGATAAAATGTGCCCTATTGATTGACAAAGAGCATTAAGTTAAAAGAAAACAGAGGGTTTGTAAATAAATGGGTAGATGAGTAGCTAAATAAGGAAAGGAGGGAAGAAGAACTGAGTCAGGATGAGACGTCTTTTCCCTAGAGAACCAGGAAGCAGTCGACATTGTCACGTAGCTGAGACTGGAGAGGGTCTGGGGACCCAGTTCATGAACTTAGGGAAAACTTACCAGCACGAGAAAGTAGCAGACAGAGCAGTAAAAGAGGAAATGTTTTCCATGTTTCTAGGGAGGGAAATGGAAAAGGACGGGTCCTGGAATGGAGAGCTTGCAGTGGAAGAACAGATGAGGGCTTCTGAGGTGACTATGCAACTGTGCTCTTTAACTAGAATTGTTCATCTAGAAATAAACCTAGGTTTTCTCTTCTTGCAGGTTTTTATTTTGAAAAACATTCCAAACTGCTGTAAGTTTGGTTTGCTTGTTTGACATATAAGTCAGAACCTGGCAGGAGGGAAAAGGGGAATTGGGGGTTCATGGCTTGCTCTCCTGCTCATGCACTTTGTGATCTTAGGCAACTTACTCTATGCTCTGAGTCTTTGCTGTTAAAATGGTGAATAACTATAATAATGTTCTCTTGATTTTGAGGATTACATGACATAATGCATGAAGAATATTTGGCACAGTGTCTGGTAATAGTGAATGTTAGCTCTTGCTGAAAAGGTAGGCAAAAAGCACCTTATATATTGAAAAGCATTACAAGACTATCAACAGAAACTATTGTGCCATTCATGTTGATCTTAAAAGTAGTTATCTTTGTAAACCGTACCTTTTTCAGCCCAGCTGCCACTGCTGAGAGCATTTTAGAAACGGTTTCAGAGATATTTCATAGGCCGTATTGGGAAAACGCCATCTGATTGGTGGATTGCCATGCTTCACTTTTGACCAGAAACATTATTTCCAATATGATTACCAACCCTAGTCAACAAACAGAATGTCAGAATAACCTGCATCAGGCTAATTCTAGAAATGAATCCATTCCAAGGAGGAATGGATATGAAAGAAGTGAAGCCTAGACTCTGAAGGAAGATGGTGTCCTTTAGGATTTTAATCGTAGAGTGATGGAAATGGAATAAGCATACCAGATAGGTTTTCCCAGGAGACATTTTGGAAGAGTCTGCTTCATCTGAAGTCAGCCTGTGAGGGGAAAGCCATGATCTCTAGGAGTCTTTTTGCCTCTTCAGTCACACCTTGTGTTCTAAAGATCTTCTCAACCCTATTCCATTCCCTGGAAACCACTACAAGTCCTGGAGATAAAGGAGAAGGCTAGTGTGTCTCAGTCCGCCGGCTGAGAGAGGGGCCCAAGCCCTCATCGTTTCAACAGAGAGGGCAGCAGAGGAAACCAACCTGGCATTTTGACACTCAGTATTTCTCATGGAGTCTATCAAATTATTACTGGGCACTTCCCGTGTGCTTCAGCATCCTGTCTTGTGGATTTGCACAGTTCTCGCCTAGGCTACCCTCCTCTTAGGTAATGGTGTGTATCAGCAGTGATCCTCTGGTTCCAAGGTAAAACCCAACTCTGCTAACTTAGGTAAAGGAGAATCTAGTAAAATGAAATCTAATCTACTTAAGTAAAATAGAATATTGGAATCATTTCCAATTTCCTGAGTATTAGTGGGCATGCTGGAGGATCAGGGTGGAAGGAATAAATTCCTCTTCAGAATGCTAGAAAGGCACAAATAAAGGGAAATTCTCATAGCAGAAGCAAGCAACCTAGTAAGCCTCCTACAACTGTTTTTAGTTTCTCTGTTCATCTAATGCAAGAGTAAAATTCCAGGAAGGGGTCGAATTGGTCTAGTTTGAGTCTTGGGTCTTGGCTATAGAAGAACAGGGCATCTGGCTTTTCTGTCAGACTGTGTACTAGAATGTGGTACTAAGAGCCTAAATTATGAGGCCGGATTATGTGGATTCATATCTCAACTCTGCCACACACAGATGTTTCTCCTCAGACACTTCATTTAACCATCCAGAGCCTCAAGTCCTTAGTTTTTGAAGTGGGCATAGTAATAGTAATTATCTCATAAGGAGTTTATGAAAATTGAGATGATATTTATAAAAAAAAATAAGCACAATGCATGGCACACAGGAAGCACTTGATCATTGTGGGCTATGCTCTAATTAAAATTACCCAGGGGAGACACCAAATAATTTCATGAAGCAAATTAGGATACCGTTAGAGAAGGGGAATAAATGTTGGTGGATCAAGACTTATTATTGATTATACTAAGGTTGGTCACAACACACTTTATTTTGCTAAGATATATCTCAGCAAGCTATTCTTTATAACGTTAAGGTTCTTAGAAATGCAGATGGCTCCTGTTCATTAATGTATCCCTGGGAATCCAGTGTCTCTGAAGGCACAAAAGTGATTTGACTGCCTGGTTATTTGATCCACACATTTATTGATACCTCCTTTATGCTCAGTTCTATACAGAGTCCCATGATCCGTGGCTCTGGGTTTGCTTATAAAGGAATCAAAGTGAGGAATAATTTGTATTCCTGTAATCTTTGTTTAATAGTAATCTAAATGTACTGTAGTCTAATAAGTCAGTACCTAATTAGGTTTACTTTAAGGGATATAGAATAATAGAGAGGGATTGTTATTAAGCCTCTCAACTTTCTAAGAAAAACATGTAAGTAGAGCCCCAGTGTATGGACGAGCTGGGTTTCTGAGTTTACTGGAAGGTTCATTGTTTGAACTTTAGTTATGGATATCCACACAGTGACATTCATCAGACGCTTCGTAGAAACAGCCTATACCCCATCCCAGGAAAGTAAAGATTTCCCAAGGAGAAAGAATCTGAAGGAGAATTTGAGGTCCCCTGGAAAAGGCACTTTGGTCCATCAGAGGCATGAGATGGACTTAGATCTCTGAAGACAGATGGAGGGTCACTAAAGAACACCGCACAGTCTACTCATTTGGAACATCAGCATTATGGTGAGGAGGGCCCAGCCGGGGCTATGGACAGCTAGACTGAGTACCACACACTGTGACAGAACCAGATAGAACTTCACTGGCCTATGGAGCCACTGAGGCACTAAATCTCTTGACTAGATCCTTCCACTTGGCCCCACACTCTGAAGAGCTTCTGAAGCCACCCAGCTCTTGTCTCTGTGTCTGAACCTACCATCTCTGTCCAAACCCACCATCTCTGTCCAAACCCCAGATCTGACCAACTCTGGCTGGTCCAGCCAACCCCACCATGCCATGTCACCCAACACAAGGAAGGCATTTTGACTAGAAACTGAAAGAAGACACTTAGTGTTACTTTTTTTTGAAGGGTATGTATCTTTTACCAGGGGAACTACTAGGCATGGTGGAGGGTGGGAGAGGGTGGCTTCGAATTTATTCAGTCAATACAGAGAATCTTGGCTATGCCCCTTATTAACCATTTCACTTTAAGCGACTTATTCTCTGAGCCTCTAGTTGTCAACTATAAAATGTAGATTAATAACAAACCTATTGTTAGGATTAAATGAAATGAATAAGCACCACGCCTAGTATCTGGCACATAGTAGGGACTAAAAAATAAATTCTAATTCTTGAATAAACCTTTTTTTCCCCTTGAATGTACAGTAAGTTTCAGAGGTAAATGAATCATCTTTACAATTGGAAGCTTGACATAAAGAAGAAAGAAGTAAACAGCTAAATTTCTCTTAAAATGATTTTCCTTTACTAACTTGTCTTCTATTGTCTGTGTTCATACAAACTAGCTATGCCTGCAAAAATGTTTCCATGGCCAGTTCTTTTCTACATGTTTAAATTCCTAATTGTGCACACAATCTTAGTCACTATATTTTCATGTGCAAGCAATTAAGACTCATTTAACAGCCCTCCCTCTGGAAGGTTTTGTTCTCCATCTGCCATAAATCAGATTCCTTAGGAACATGTTTGATTTTTAAACAATGTGAAAGTACTGTTCATTTTGTTCAAATTTCATTTATGTACCATTTTTTAAAGTGATGTAAATGGACAGCCACAAAAAGCTCAGCAGCTGGTCAAAACAAGACATCAAAGAAACCATTGAATTGGGGCAAAAAATTAAAAAAAAAAACTAATATGCTAGGACAAAGCCAAATAAAAACCATAGTCTGATAAACATTCCTCAGACACATTTTGCTCATATTACTTAACAACAGATTTAAAATATGGGAAAATGGGAATGCACCGCTCTTCCCAGTCTTGAGCTCATGGTAATATATGTGAGGAAAAATAGCAAAAGCAGCCAGAAGGAGGAAAACAGAAAAAGATTAGATTCGTAAGTGTTTTTGGAGAGACACATTTAAGAAATAATAACCACAAGACTCAAACAGATTTGTAAGACACTTTTGTTCACTTAAAAATACTTTGGTGAGTATGCTTCTCCTTTACCACAGGTGAAGTCCATTTTAGTATGTTCAGTGAGCTTCTTAGGATCATCAAAAAGAAATTAATGCATAGTCAAATTAAGAGAGAAAAATAATTATTAGGTTCTGTGCTCATTTCAGCAGCATATATACTAAAATTGGAATGATACAGAGATTAGCGTGGCCCCTGCCCAAAGATGACACGCAAATTGGTGAAGCATTCCATTTTTTTTTTTTCTAAGAAAAAAAGGATCACTAAATTCTCAATACAAGTGCCTGTGTACTGGTAACTTAAACTCAACAAAAATTTTAAAAGAAAAGGATTATTTTTTTCTTAAAGGTTTTCAAGATTAAATGTCACTATTTGAAGACGTAGCCTGCAGAAAATATTTTTCTTTGCCTAAACGTCCCATTGCTTGGGACTTGAAACAAATCACCAACATAGCTAATGCAGTAAATCCCCATTTATATATCAATAGAAAATTTTGTCCACCAGCTTCCTAAGGCTTTATAAGCTGAATTGTTTTGATACCATTTGATGAAAGGTCCTGTAAAAGTTCAAAGTATTGTTGTTAATTTGGGCAGTCACACCTGCACATTTAAAATGCCTTTGTGCAAAGTGTAGCCCAATCTGCTTTCAAATCAGACCTTCAAAGAAGGGTAGATTCATAAGTGTGACAGATCCCCTTAGGTGTTTCCCTACAAAGAAAAAGTAAAACTAAGAGAGCCACTCCCACCCCACCATCTTTGTTTGAGCCTTAGCATCAAATGGCACCTCTAAAAAGAAATGCAGAGAGAACGTTAGCACCTCTCTGCTGGAGATGTTAAACAAGATAAGGAAGGTCTTCTGGAAGAAGTGGCTCCTAAGAATTATGAAATAGTTGTTAATAAACAGAAGGGAGAAAATGGAAATGGAGAGAAAGCGTACTTTAAGAGCAGCTCAGCTCAGAAATCATAGACATGTGTACGGGTATTAGTTCCATTGTAGGGTGTAGTTAAGAGTCAAATGAATGTTGCGCCAAGAGTTTAGGGTAGTGGTTCACAAACTTGTTTGTTCATTATAATCACCTGGGAATCTTTTTAAAATTCCAAAGAATGAAAGCAGAAAATATAGAAACTTGAGAGACCACAGAATAGCGATGTCCATGAAAAAGGTCTAATAAAGGCCCTATACTAGCAAAAAAGTTAGTTTGCAGAAATATAGAGCAAGAGATTGTTGCAAATGATAAAAGAACAGGTGTGTGGGATTTAGTAACTGGTAATTGTATGAATCTGAGTGGCTGTGAAATGGCTCTGACAGTATATGAACCCTTGTGATCCTTGCTATTATATATAGCATATATAGGATTATATATCGGATAAAAATAGTTTGATTCTTGAATTCCAATTTGGAATTTAAGGCTGGTTTATCTCAGTGCATAGATTACCTAAATTTCATGTAGGAGAAAATGTTCCCCATGTCTAATATTCTAGGAAACTCAAGGTCATAATCTTATTTTAATCATTTGGAATGAAAATCTTTGAAAGGTGTGGTGCTCATTCTTAACCTTTTATTTTATTTTCTACTTTTTTTTTTAATTTATTCATGATAGTAACACAGAGAGAGAGAGGCAGAGACACAGGCAGAGGGAGAAGCAGGCTCCATGCCAGGAGCCTGACGCGGGACTCAATCCCGGGACTCCAGGATCGCGCCCTGGGCCAAAGGCAGGCGCCAAACCGCTGCACCACCCAGGGATCCCCATTCTTAACCTTTTAAAGGCATGCACCGAATGTAGGGAAATTATTTTCCGTGGCTCTGATTGTGATTATATACATCTACTTTTATACTTTTTTGACATTCACAGATGCCCTTTGGAGCTAATAATCTGTGGACTTTCCCCCCAGTATTTCAGAGCCCCAGATGTTGCTGCATTTTAACTTCTCATCTGCTGCTCCCAATGATCACTTCTTTAATGTTGTTAGTGAACCTTGCCTCCTCGTGACCTCTTTTCTGATCTGCTGCTTCTTTTGCCTTGGAAATCCAGAGTCCTAGCCATTGCCTTGAGTCGAAAATAAGAATAAATGAACTCAAAATAAAAGTGGAGTTGCGCATTTGGGGAATATGAATAATAGAGAAGGGGAATATAAGGGAAGGGAGAAGAAATGTATGGGAGATATCAGAAAGGGACACAGAACATAAAGACTTCTAACTCTGGGAAATGAACTAGGGGTGGTGGAAGGGGAGGAGGGCGGGGGGTGGGGGTGAATGGGTGACGGGCACGGAGGGGGACATTTGACGGGATGAGCACTGGGTGTTATTCTGTATGTTGGTAAATTGAACACCAATAAAAATTAATTTATAAAATAAAAAAAAAAAGAAGAAGAAATCTTAAAGTAAAAAAAAAAAAAGTGGAGTTGCGGCCAATCCATCTCTGAGGTAGAGCTTTAGGATATTTAATGCATATAACAAGTTTTAATTTTTTTTTTCAATTTGAATATAGTTGACACACAATGTTACATGAGTTTCAGGTGTGCAACATAGTGATTCAACTTCTCTAAATGTTATTCTGGGCTCACCACATGTGTATCTCCTATCTACGGTATCGGTTCGTTGACTGTATTCCCTATGTTGTGCCTTTTATCCTTGTGATTTGATCATTCCATAACTGGAAGCTTGTATCTCCCACTCTTCTTCACTGATTTCCCCATCCCCCCAACCCAGTTCACTCTGGCAACCATCAGTTTGTTCTGTTCATTTACAGACCTGATTCTGCTTTTTAGCAAATAAGCTTTTAAAGGCATTTGTTGACCGTTCTGGGTTCTTTGCACCTATTTACTGGTATTGAATAGAGTAAGTTCCCAAACAATTGATTTCCGGGTAAATAGATTATTACTAAACTACTAGAGCTAATAAAATTAATATTGACTTATCATCAAGCAATCAGCAAAAACATTTAATTCTGTGCTCTGGGTTTCAGGGAAATGGAAATAAGTAAGATGTAGTCGTACTTTCAAGGACTTAGCAAGATATAGTTGTACATATGAAAAAGATACCAAGAATCAACCCCCAGGATTGTGTCATAGAGAATAAGTGTCTTAAGAATTCAGATGAATCAAAGATCAAATTCAGATAAGCAATGATATACTTTGAGTGCTTTTCAGATACTTTGGAATAGTTAAATGTTTCACCTGGCCAGACTTTTGTAATGGGCATGTTAATGGATGGTCACTACCTAGGTAGAAGTTCAGCATTGCTCCCAACATCCCAGCTGAGTAGCCCTTCCCATCCAGAAATATTTGCTATTACAAAAGAGAAGTGATCACTTGTGATTTATTTACTGATTTTTTAAAAGATGTATATATTTATTTGAGAAGAGAGTACAGGTGGTGGGGAGGGACAGAGGGGGAGAGAGAGAGAAAGAGAGAGAGAGAGAGAATCTCAAGCAGACTCCCCACTGAGCGCAGAGCCAATTCAGGGCTCAGTTTCACGACCCTGAGATCATGACCTGAGCTGAAATCAAGAGCTAGATGCTTAACCAGTTGAGCACCCAGGCACCCCTCACTTGTGATTTGTTAACATTCCTTCATTCTGCTTGTGACCCTGAACTTGCGAAACTTATAGAAAAAGCAATAATCCCAAGGTTTTAGGGACCAGAGCTTTATTCCCAGCTCTGTCACTAGCTCCCTGCTTAACCTTGGGTCAGTACTTTAAGCTGGTTTTCCATCTATAAAATGAGGAGATTGGATTAGATGATATCTAAAAATCCAACCAGCTCTTTCATGTTTTTTAATTTTTTTTAAAAATGCATGCTTCTGATTATTTGCCTTCGTATTCTATAATTATATTTCCCTGAGGAGTTGAATAAAAGATACACTAAATCCATGTATGAATTCCACTTTCTCTGATATAGATCCTTTAGAGAATATCCTTGACACCCACCATTTACTATTTTGAATTTTCAACAAAGGGTTAACAGAAAATTCTGGCTCCCCTGGCTAGTCATCCTCTCCAGTTGGCAGAAATCTTCGTGTGGACTTGATGGTTGCCTAGAGCAACAAAATATTAGGGACAGAAACATGTTCAGGGACTTGATTGTATAAGTGACTCAGAGCTGAGAGACCTTTTCCAGCTTGACTGGAGCCCATACTTTAGCTAGAGTGAGTATTTGTCTATGCCTGTCTGCCCCACTCCGCTGACTGGGAGGTGCCTGTTATTTTGCCTACGGAATACAGAAGCCAACCTTGAAACCTGTAGAGGGGGGTTAACTGGTCAGAAAGCAATCTTCATTCAGCACGTCTCACACATGAGAGATCATTAGTACTAGTAAATATAAACAAGATGAAGAGGCCTATTGTGGGCTTTGAAGAGCACATACCAAGAATATTGTGAGAACTCAATAAAAAGTCAATGTAAGAGCTACTCTTCAAAGCTAATTATCCCTTTCGAGTTAGGACAACCCACTGGAGGAGCTGTTGACAAAAACCAATACCATTTTCCTTCTCTTTGTGGAAGCCAGACATCTCTGAGTATGCTCTGAGTTAAAACGTGAAGTTAAAAAAAAAAAAAAAAAAGAATAAGAAATTTTCTATTCCACAACTCCTTAAATCCTCAGGTCATCCCCTCCTTGTGCCATCAGTCTGGCTCCATAATACCAATTACTCCAGCTTATTAAGGAAGTTATTAGCATCCAGGAATCACGTCTTTAGCTTCTAGTCAGTGTTGCCTGCAGCATGAAGTGGAGGGAGAAGTAGTAGCCAAGTCTCATTAACCTCAAGTCCTCTGTCCTTAGCTATTTAACTAGGTTCCGTCTTACTTTTGTGTTTGCTTGATGTTTTTATACCCCGTATACATTCTTCTCACTCGCACATGAACAAGGTCAGTACCGGTAATAACAATAATCATATTCTTTTACTTTTTATCCTGATTGAATATTTATTGTGTCTTCATGATCAGAAACTGGCCCTCTCGATTTGGACCTTATGGATTGTAATGAATATTCTTTTTGGGTGATTGGAAACGTAGTCCTCAACTTACATGGTTTACATAGTAACTCTTATCCACATAACCATAGCAGCTGTTTGGAAACATGGCTTCAGATCACTTGTTTGCAAATGTCTTTTTCCGTTCAATCCTGAATGTAGTGGAGCCCATATACGTTACTTGACGTGTGAAACACATGTGACCCTGGCAGATGATTTGGCTGACCTTGAAAACTACAGCTGTTTAGTCACTTTAAAAACAGGGCTCTATGA